CGCCCTGTGCCTCCCTTCCCCCTCCCCGCCCCGCGGCGGCAGCTCGGGCCCGGCTTGCGCTTCGAAGATGGCGGCGCTGAGCGGCGGCGGCGGTGCCGGCGGCGGCGGCGAGCAGGGCCAGGCTCTGTTCAACGGAGACATGGAGCCCGAGGCCGGCGCGGGCGCCGCGGCCTCCTCGGCTGCCGACCCGGCCATTCCTGAGGAGGTGAGTGAGGGGCGCGGGCGCGGCCGGCCACCGTTCGAGGGGGACGAGAAGCTCCGGCCGCCGCGGGGAGGGGGACATTGGTCGTGCGGCGCCCAGCGGAGACTCCCAGCTGCGTAAACACGGCGGCCGGGCTTCCCCGGCGGCGGGGCCGGGGCTGCGGGGGCTCCGGGGCGGTGGAGAAGGTCACGCCTGGCCGAGGAGCCGGCCCTGCATCCTCGGACCCTCGCGTTCTCCTGCCGACCGGCGGGGATGGAGGCCAGGGCCGGGCAGGACCCCCATCCCGGGTCCCTGCTGGTGATGATGGAGGGCATCCCTCCACTCCCTTGCATGCCCTCGCCCCCTCCCACTTTCCTACTTGTTTGCGGCGGGGAGTCAGGCGGGGGTCCTCTCTTCACCTGTTTGGCCCGGCGGATGATTTTGGTGTGTTTACTTTTTCATGCCCACGTTTCACTGTTTCCGAAGCTTTTCCCTTCCCAGGGCTCCGGTCCCCGATTTCTGATGCTGCCCGGTCACCCCCATCCTGTCCCCATCCACCAGCCCCGTTCCTTTCCCACTCGGCGGACCTACCTGCGGTCTAAGCCGAGCTTCCACTAAGGAGTGCCTGCCCCTCTCCTGCCCAGCCCTCTGGAGGCCCCTCTGCCTCATTCCACCGCTCCGCGACGTCCTTATCTCTGGTTATCTTCGCAAACCCTTCTGGACACTTTGGGGCTCCTCACTCTCTGGAACCCTCAAGCTGTCAAGATTCCATCAGGTTTCACTTGGCTCTTTACTCCCTCGCACTGCTAGCGATTTGGGCTGGCCTTGCAGTGTTCATACACACTGCGTTATTCGTACCCTTCATAGTTTCTTAGTAGATCTGATGATTTATGTTGCCCTCATTTTTTGTCCTATTTCTTCCTTCCCCGTTCATTTTTACCTGTCTTTAGTACCTGATTCCGTCAGCCTGTCTTTGCATCATTGAACTTATTACCTCATCAGTTACTTTTGGGGGGGGCAATACAAGAAACTTACATTTAGTATTGGGCATTTTATTACATAAAACAATACAGTATTTTACAGTGTAATAAGGTATATATCTGTGCTTTATAGTGATTGGTTACATATGACTTAATTTTGTTGACTTTGTTTAAAGTTCTCTCTCTTTGTTTTCCTGCTACTTAGATTTCCCAATTCTCATGGTACCCCCTTTCTGCAACTTTCTGTTACCTGCTCCGTTATATTTACTTTGGAAACTCAGCCGATATACTTGATGTATTTAGTTGCAGTCTGTTCACAATAGTTTGTTTTGCACCCTTTTAAATCTATGCCCAAATGTGTTTTGTACCATCATTTGAACTAGTCTAAATTTCTGTTTTTAATTTCTTAATTTAAAATACTTCCACTTTCCAGTATGCACATTTACTTATTCCTCCCAGCTTCTTGGAGTACAAGGATAAAGTTCTTCCCTTCATCCATTTCCTAGTTGAGTCTGTTTCCCTTGTCCCTACTTATATTCATTCTGCCTTGTTTCCTGGCTTTTGGTACTTAACTTGCTGAAGCTTCCTCTTGTCTTCCCCACACCTCCACATTCCTTCTTATTTATAAACAGCTTTGTTCCGTTGACATGGAAATTTATTTTTAGGATACATTGTTTTTAATGGAGAAATGCTGGGGTCACATCTGCTGTCTCTTTTCTCCAGGAGTCGGATATATGCCTTTGTCTTGGTAGGTACAGGTGCCTCTGGGCTTTACTCTGCAATGGTGTGTACTTTTCCTGACTTGTGTGCATATTTGAGGACCATGGTGGAATAGAAATATGGATAAATTAATGAGTAGGGGTTATAAAATGATAATTCTCTGATTATGGCTTTGATTTGAGAACTTTGTTTCAGAGTTATTAGGACAGTTTGCATTTCTATAGAGAAGACTTTTGTAACTTCTTTTCTTTTTCATTTTCTTTTTTGGTCTTTTTGAGACAGGGTCTCCCTGTAGCCCCAGCTGCCCTGGAACTTACTATGTACACCAGGCTGGCCTTGAACTCACAGAGATCCGCCTGCCTCTGCCTCCTGAGTGCTGGGATTAGAGGCATGCACCACCACACCTGGCTTTTGTAAACTTTTTACCCTGTTTTCTTAAAAGGGTCAGATTGTTTGAACATGCCCCCCAACCCCCAAGATTCTAAGTAGTCTGTTAAGGCCTTGGCTTTCTGTTGACATGCTTTCTGGGCAGCTCTCCTGTGCCAGCACTTGAGAACTTCTAGGTTAGATGAAGGCAAATTTAAATTGCCAGTAATTGAACATGTTCATATCGCCTGAACTTGTATTATTATTATTATTATTTTTTTGTCTTTTTTGTCTTTTTGAGACAGGGTCTCCCTGTAGCCCCAGCTGTCCTGGAACTCACTATATAGACCAGGCTGGCCTCGAATTCACAGAGATCCGCCTGCCTCTGCCTCCCGAGTGCTCGGATTGAAGGCATGTGCCACACCGGGCAAAAATTTAGTTAAAAGACAAGTGTTTCCCACTGATCCTCACCCCCCAATGTTTTAATATTTAGTGATGAATAATTGTCTTCTCTGTAAAAGATACTAAATATATTTGGGTTCGAGGAGGTTATGAATAAATAGTGGACTTCTCGACTATAGATAAAAATGTATGGTGGCACACACCTTTAATCCCAGCACCCGGAAGGCAGACGCAGGCAGATCTCTGTGAGTTCAAGGCCAGCCTGGTCTACATAGTGAGTTCCAGGACAGCTGGGGCTACAGAGAGACCCTGTCTCAAAAAGAACCCCCCCCAAAAAAAAGTTATGCGTAATAAAATTAATTTCTCCAGGAAATAGTTGCTTTTGTTTGAGATAGGGTATTACGTAGCTCAGGCTTGCCAGGGACTTGTATGACTGAAGCTCTCCTAGAACTCCTGATCCACCTGCCTTCACCAACTAAGTGCCGAGATTACAAATATGCGTCCCTACACCCAGCAATAAACAGTTTTAAACTTAAAGTTGACAGGCAACTGAAATGTCCTGTAGATTTTAAAAATTGAACTGTGTTCTTTATATGCACTTAAGGGAATATCTGTAATTATTAAATACATGGAAAGAAATGAAGAACCATGCTTGTGTATAATGACATTTTATTATAAATATTTATCTTACCTGACTTTAAAAAAATTGTCAGAGAGAAATTTCAGCTCCACTAAAACTAATTGTAGAAAAAATATGTTCATTATTTAAAATTAGAAGAGTAAGTATAAAAAGTTAAAAAAAACTATTTAGCCACTAGTGTGCAATTGTTAATAAACATTTTGGTGTATAATATCTAGTCTTTTTTTAATAGTTGTATAATACATTATATATGGATTTGTGACTTTATAAACTTAATAGATAGCAAAACTTAGTATGTCTTTAGATAAAGTATGGTTTATTTAACTGATACTGTTTTTGAACATTTTGGTTATTTAAAAATTTTTTCTATTATCAAGCATCTTTTTTTTTCTTTTTTTTTTTTTTTTTTTTCTGGTCTTTTTGAGACAGGTCTCCCTGTAGCCCCAGCTGACCTGTAACTCACTAGGTAGACCAGGCTGGCCTTGAACTCACAGAGATCCACCTGCCTGTTGAGCATCTTTAACATAGACTGCAGACTATTGTATTTAAAATAATCTTGGAGAGTGAACAGATTCTTTGTATTTTTATTACTCTGCAGGTGCCCAACATAAAAGATTCTGATAAAAGACAGGAACTTACTAAATATTTATTAAGTGAATGTGTGTATACTTTTGGTATTAAACAGTCACTTCTGACCATTTATATTTCCTTGATGATACTTTCTTCCTGTGACCATATGGTATGGTATGGTGCATGGTTATTACCAGATGGTGTAATAAATACATACATTTTTTAAAATGTGTGATACCAGGGTGTGATATTTACTACCTGTTCCTCTTATGCTGTATTTCTGGAGGAGGGAGCTTCTTAAAATTCCAAGACAATTAGAATTGTATTTTTTGTTTTCAAGATCTCTCTGTTGCCAGTCTTGGCTAAGCTGTGTAATTATAATAACGTACTGGCTAGGGAATACTCTAGGATGGGATCTCCTTTATAATGAGGCTCACTGTATTAAAATACATCTTTGTGAACCGTGCCAGGTTAGATTGCATCATACCCCTGAAAAGTGGTTCCCACTTAGGTGCTTATGCAGTTCTGGCTGTTGCTGCTAATACCTGTTTAGATGTTTACAGAGATTTCCTTTAGGGGAAAAAAAGTAAGTAGCTGTTTGTCTTCAGTATGTTTGTGGCTCCCCCCACCCCTTTCTGAACTCCTTTTTCCCGACTTAAGGGCTCCCTTTAGGCATCCATCCACTCACCATTTTATTTAGAAAATTATCTGGTATCAGTCACTTATATATGCTGTCTGCTGGCCGTAAGTAGGAGAAAGGAATGTTGGGCTGGGGGCTTCAATTTGATTTAATTATGTTCACTGGACCAGAAAAATTGTAATGGAAATAAAAGACTAGAGCAGTCAGACTGTCCTTGTTTTTTCTGTCCCCTGCTTTTCTGATTAGGATGAAGAGGTCTAATGGCAGCTGGAAACCTATAGTCTTAGATTGAGACAGAAGGAGCTGGGGTTGTCTTCACTGTGCTTTGGTGTTGTCTAAGATCTGTTACCTACCAAGTCATAGACTAGGGCAGCTGCTCAGTGCTCTTTGTTTTCCATTTTTCTCCATGGAAAACTGATTTCTCCTTCAGAGCTACACATGTGCATTTTGTTTCTTTGATACCTTGCTATTAATTTAGATGAATACTTAGTGAACTTCTTATCATAATCCCCTTTTTAAAAATCTTGTTTGTGGGGCTGGAGAGATGGCTCAGCGGTTAAGAAATCACTGGTTGTTCTTGTAGAAGACCAGCATCCACATGGCAGCTAACAACTGTCCGTAACTCCAGTTCCAGGGGATCCGACAGCCTCTTCTGTCCTCCTCGGGTATTGCATGACATGGTGCACTTACCTACAAGTAGGCAATA